GGAGCAATCCTCCTCCTCACGCCCCAGCAGCCGCAACTGGCGACACTACGGGCGTCGGGGATCGAGGGACGATCTCCGGCCACCGTAAGTACGGGCCTGCGGTCGGCGAGTAAGGGCAGCTCGCCGCCCGACCAGAACCAGGCCCGAGCGTACGGCGCGTAGCGTTCCGCGCGCGCCTCAAAGAGCCAATAGACCACCACAGACGGGGCCCTAAAGGGCTGATGTTCAGCCGGGGTTGCGGGGTAAGCGCAATGAGGTACCGCGACCTCGGCACAGAGCAGGAGAAGGAACAGGGGGGTTTTTAGTCAGTAAGAGTCTGACACTCCCTCCTGCCCGGCCCTGGGCGGGAGAAGTCATTTGATGATTTTCCCCTCACAAAAAAAAAAAAAAAAAAAAAACCCGGGTGACGCCGCTGGCGACCGCTAGTATAGGTATGAAAACTTAATATACATCCTGTACAGTAATTTGGTATGCAGGTAGAAAAATAAAAAGATTACTTTAGTACATATACAGTAAATTATTGGCTATTGAGCCGACCAATGTTCACAAAATATATAGGTTAGAAAGCCAGTTATAAATGAGTATAACAATATCTAATACATTTTTCAAAAATGCAAAGATTTTTCTTCAGCGACGTGAGTGTTTTTTTTATGGTATAAGTCGGCAAACGAGCAGACGGATTACCTGATGGTAAGCAATCGGCGCCGCCCATGGACACCCGCAACACCAAAGGAGTTACGAGTGCGTTGCTGGCTTTTTGGCGATGGGGGTTGCGGATATAAGGATTGGGAAGGGATAGGAGAAGGGGAGGGATTGAGTCTCCGGTAACCTCACTCACACGGCGAAATACAACGCTGTGGGTTTACAATCATACAAATTCACAAACCCATTACCACCCAGACCCGGACGAACGATTTCTTGACCACAATATGAGTTATTCACGCAGGAGCAATTTGACAAACCACAGCGCTAATCATAATAAAAGTATTATCTTAGTACCACGTTAATCTTTATTTTTAACATGTACACCTAATAACTCTTTTTAACTACCCCGCACTATGATTTTCTCCTGTGTCCTGGGACATTACAGACAAACCCGGAACAACAATTTATGCATTTATAAACGAAAAGTTGCTCCGTGCGGAGTTCGAAATTGTGACACTTTGTACAACAACCAGTACAGAAGAAATAAATTACTAACTTTATAGTACTAGCGGTCGCCGGCGTCCCCGCCCACGTGTATGTCCATTTCACACTTTTTCAAGTTTATTTTTAATTTTCTCTACGTAAAAACCATCTCTGGACTTCCACAAATAATTCAAGGCATGGTTGAGTTACAACATTACAATGAAAAGTTTTAAGGCATTGATTTTAAATATATAGATTATTTTCTAGATATTATTTTCTAACCTGCCTAAACTAATGAAACAATGAAACAATTAATTTATTTTTGCAAATAGGCCTTAAAACGGCACTTTTACACGTCAAATTATATGTAAAAAGCTAGATGAAGCCGGCATTTCCTATCTGACTACTCTGAGAAGAAATGCCGAAACAAACTCAGAGGTCAGTCTCTTTTCAAGTCCAGACAATATAAAATAACATAATGTGAGAGAACCGTGCAAGTTCATTCTGTAGTGGTCTTTTGAGGAAAGAACCACACCAGTTTAAGTGGACCCGTTCTGAAGACAGGCACGCAAGTGTCAGTTTGCAACCATATAGCTAGTGCTGTTGAGTTGTCCGACGAACAATACCGATCAAAAGAACATTTGGGTGGGTCGCGCAAGTACTCAAACTGTCAGAACGCAGATGACTGGTGATAAAAAAAGCACGACAAGTCTCACACGGTCCTTACACTAACAATATATAAAATAATAAAAATGTCAACAAATAAATAAAAAAAAATGTCAAATAAAAAATAAAAATGTCACACTATGTGATCATGTCATTGTATAAAAAAAAAATAAACGTAATGTCAAATTGTATATAAAAGTGTAACTTATGTTACAAACATGTCAACATGACCTGTGCAGACATTACAGCGGCTCATTCCCAAGCCTGACTATCCTCTAAGTAGTCTTTTATTTTATAAAATGCTTTACAGCAAAGTTTAGCCTTTATTACACTTTTAAATTTATTGAGGCTCAAATTTTGAATATCGCTAGGAATTTTATTGTAAAAGCGTATACATTGACACCTAAACGAACTACTTATTTTCTGAAGCCTGGAGGCAGGCACAACATATTTGTTTTTCCCCCTCGTGTTGATATTATGTATATCACTATATTTCTTAAATAAGCTTTTGTTTTTATGAGCGTGAATTACATTTTCATAAATATATTGAGAGGCAACTGTCATTATTTTAGATTCCTTAAATAATTCTCTGAGCGAATGCCTCGGACTAAGATTATAGATTGATCGAATAGCCTTTTCTGCAGAACAAAAATAGACTGGATGTCAGCAGCATTCCCCCACAACAAAATACCGTATGACATGATGCTGTGGAAATAACCAAAATAAACTAACCGCGCTGTATCTATATCTGTTATAACTGCACCAAACCCATAAAAAACCAACAATGAAACAATGAATGAAACAATGAAACAATTAATTTATTTTTGCAAATAGGCCATAAAACGGCACTTTTACACGTCAATTTATATGTGAAAAACAAGATGAAGCCGGCATTTCCTATCTGACTTCTCTGAGAAGAAATGCCGAAACAAACTCAGAGGTCAGTCTCTTTTCAAGCAACGAGCAACTAAATAATCAACCGTTTTCTTTTTCTATATACATATAACATCAATCTTAACACCAAACCAAAAATTGAACTATGTCAAAAATCAATAAACTAACCCTTCTATCGAACGCCTTACTTAAAACCGAAAACACTTGAAAATATTTTAACGTCATTTGAAGTTAAAAATACAGCCAGTCCGTTCTGTCCATCCTTCAACATTGAGTAAACAAGCACGCGGTCGGGTCACACGATCATCGTATGAATTATTGATACAATATTGATCGATATAACTTAGCTACCAAACATTAATACTAGTACGAGGACATGTGTATGGGAAACACACATATACAACTCGTTCCGTTAGAATGAGCGAGACTAGTCATTTAAGCGTGGGAGACCCAAGCTTTGACACGGATGGGTCGGCTCGACCGGAGTGATAGCACGGCCTCACATAAAACCGGCGTAAAACAACCACAGCGTTGTGTTTCGCCATGTGAGTGAGGTTACCGGAGGCCCAATCCTTCCCCGCCCCCAATCCCTCCTCAATCCCTAATCCCTAAAAGGTCGGCAACGCACTCGTAAATCCTCCGTTGCGGGTGTCAATGGGCGGCGCTGATTGCTTACCATCAGGTAATCCGTCTGCTCGTTTGCCAACCAATTACATAAAAAAAATAGTAATAGCAAACAAATAGACCATAAAATGGCACGTTTAAACGTCAAAATTATATGTAAAAAACTATGTAGATGAAGCCGGCATTTCCTACCTGACTACTTTGAGGAAAAACGCCGATACAAACTCAGAGGTTTGTCGGACGTGGCTTAGAGCTTGTGGACGTTTTCCAAGTCTCGGCAAGCGTGTAAACATACCACAATTCGTATGTATCATAACCACTTGGTAGATTCGGTCACTTAATTAAATTCTTCGGTAATACATTCTTATCGCATAACTAATCGCATGCCATGAAATTGATGACTGTTTTCACCATATCGTGATGTGGTTTGAGCGGATCAATCATGAGGTGGTGCGAATTTTTACTTAGAGGGGAAAAATATGCAATGTGGGTCATAGCTCTTACCTACCTCAACGAATTTTTTGACGTGAGGAATACCAGCATTTCGGTTCTATAAATTTGTTTGATTTTGAATCTTGTTCGAGTGTGAAGTGAGCGTCGAGGTGACGGGGAAATCTCATACTTTATCTATCAAAAAGTTGCGGTCAATTTAGTTCAACTCGCAAGTGTAGCGCTAGTGTACTACTACTCACAGCGGATTCAGATTCGAAGTTTAGAATGAAGTCTTATAGAATCACACTGCAGGCTCTCTTTCTGACCAAAAAACCAAGTAAACAATATTAGTTATTGTAACTATCCAATGCAATAAAATGTGAAAAAATAACGATAGTTTTAGAATAGACTAGCGGTCGCCCGCGTGAATGTAGATTTCGCACTTTTTCAAGCTTTTTTTTAATTTTCTCCACGTATAAACCTTCTTTGGACTTCCACGAATATATTTCAAGACCAAAATTAGCCAAATCGGTGAAAGCATTGTTGAGTTATAACATTATAACGAAACGTGGCATTCATCATCATCAGTCTATAAGTGTCCACTGCTGAACAAAGGCCCCTTCTCATACGGAGAAGGTTTGAGCATTACTCACCACCCTTGCTCAATGCGGGTTGGCGATTTCAAACTTATGATTAGAAATTATAAGTCGATGTTTACCTTCACCGTATGTCAGTGTTGTCTAAATAATCAAAGAAAGTACTCTCTCTCTTACTCTTACCGTAAAACTCTGACACTCCAAAGGCGAGAGAAAACATGAGATGATTTTCCACCCTCAAAACAAAAGTTCTGGAAATGGACGCCATATAGCGTACCTTTTTTAATGTATTAGTTCGGCAAACGAGCATGCAACGGAGGAGTTACGAGGGCGTTGCCGACCTTTTAGGGATTAGGGATTTGGAGATTTTAGGAAACGCTGTGGTTGTTCCACGCCGGTTTTCTGTGAGGCCGTGATATCACTCCGGTCGAGCCGACCCATTCGTGCCGAAGCATGGAACCTAAAGATAACTTTTACAACTTGAAAACGACGAAATTTATTCTAAAACCACTAACTTAACACTTCCAAAATATATAATTTCAGATTACAATGGAAGATGCCCGTTTTGAACCTAAAGATAACTAAAACTTTTACAACTTAAAAACGACGAAATTTATTCTAAAACCACAAACCTAACACTTCCAAAATATATAATTTCAGATTACAATGGAAGATGCCCGTTTTGAAGAGGCTCCAATTAAAAAAATAACAACCCGCTACGACTACCGCGCTCCCCGAAGGTTAGACCAGTTGGATGAAATTGGACAGAACTTGGAATTGCTTGGGAAAAAAATTGGCAGAAGGTTTGAAAGTAAAGTTGGGCCAAGCAACCTGGATACTATAAGTTTCGAAAGCGAAAAATTGAAAACTAGTCACAGTGAGAGCTCCTCTCGACGGAACAGCGATGATGGGGGACGAGCTGAAGGTCTTCGAGGCGGTAAGAGTTTATTTTTGTTTCTATAGGCAAACGAGCATAAGGATTTCATGATGGTAAGCAATCAGCGCCGCCCATGGACACCCGCGCAACAACAGAGGAGTTACAAGTGCGTTGCCGACCTTTAAGGGATTAGTGATTTGAATTTGAAGATTTAGGGATTAGGGAAGGATTGGGCCTACGGTAACCTCTCTCACACGGCGAGCCGACAGATCACCTGATGGTAAGTGATCGGCGCCGCCCATGGAAGCCTACAACACCAGTGGAGTCACAGGCAGAGGTCCTTTTAAGAAGGAGTACGCTCATTTCTTGAAGGTTTGAAGGTCGTATCGGTTCGGGAATACCGCCGCCGGAAGATCATTTCAAAGTTTTGCTTAGCGGGGCATAAAGTGTCGCGGAAATCGCAAAGTTGTTGACTGCTAACCATCTATATGATGGGGATGAAGACGCTTACACGTAGAATGATGGCGAAAAGATACGGCGGGGATCAATCCGAATAATTTCTTAGAACACTCCCCGTGATATCTACCTATACCAATATTATCAAGTGGTAAAATTTGTAAGTTTGTATGTAGGGGGTAATCTTTGGAACCGCTGGTCGGATTCCCAAAATTCTTTCACTGATAGATAGCTACAATGTTCCTAAGTGCTATATGCTTTAAAACATCACGCTACGATTAATTGGAGAAATGGATGAGAAATAGAACACATGGCGAGGCTACATCCCTACGCGCACTGCGTAGGGATGTAGCCTCGCAGTGCCAAAGTGTCCAACCGGTCCGACCGGCCCGTCACTTGTGTGATGTAGGACTTGTGACGCCATCCATTGAACATTGTCGTCGATCTCTGCGTCGTTACAATACAAAGTACTGAATCAAAATCTTAATAATTCCAGATGGTACCAGCTCAGAGCCTCCGACAGCGAGCGTGACAAATTTCAACGCATGGGGAGAACTCAACAGTTCCACATCCACAACTCGGACAGAACTGAGCCTGTCTGATGGTGGAGAGGAACAGGTAAATGATTCATTGATGATGGCACGCAAGATACTATTAACGTCTGATGTTTTTAACATATCTACATCTTTGTCCTTTTTCCATTTTTTAATATTTTTAATTTTAAAAAAGAACGTTCCGTTCGGCTTGTTGTAATCATCTATACCTACTAATATTATAAAGAGGTAAAATTTGTAAATTTGTATGTTTGTATGTTTGTAAGTTTGTATGTAGGGGGTAATCTTTGGAACCGCTGGCCGGATTACCAAAATTCTTTCATTGCTAGATAGCTACAATGTTCCGGAGTGCTATAGGCTATAAAACATCACGCTACGACCAAATGAAGCTGAGCAGCGGGTGAAACCGCGCGAGAGTGGCTAGTTAGCGATAAAGATATATATGAAGGGCTGTTTCCACATAAATTATCCAAGTAGCAATTCAAGTGAGAGCAGGGTTATGACTCTAGGACAGACTCTATGTCAACTTAAAACGCGCCAGCTTTCAATTTAGTCCTAGAAACTTTTTTTGGTGTGGTTTTTGACGGTGTTGTTACGTGAGAGTGAGACGTGACTCGTGATGCCCTAAGGACGGACTTTTTTGTGCTTGTTTTGGTATTTGATTAAGGGTTAATCCACGATAACCCTTGATTATTATTAAACAAGTTTTTATCTTTTTTTTTTACTTGCAATAAACTAGTTCTTGACTGCGGTCCCACCTGATGGTAAGCAGTGATGCAATCGTTGATGGTAAGGCGCACTAGGTTATTAAGAGCCTATTCACTCTAGCCTTGAAGACACCTAATTTGTATTCGGACGGAAAGACTGCAGCCGGCAAACTGTTCCAATCCCTCGATGTACGCGGTATAAATGACGAGGCAAAACGCTTAGTCCGGGCCGCAGGTGTCTCAACAACGTAGGGGTGGATATTCGCCGTACGCCGGGATGTCCGAAGGTGAAATTGTAAAAGGTGAAAAAAACAAGTTTTTATCTATTCTTTTAGACCACAAAAACTCGCCGTAGGAGCCATGAGTCTGCTCTACCAGGCACACCGATGCACCAGAGAGCTCCTTGGAAGTCAGCTGATAGTCTGGTACCGGAGTCAGCATTTGGCACTTCCCTGGCCGATATTATGGAGAGTCCAGCTAATAAGGTAAGGAACTTCTGTTTGTGAGGGGAAAATGAAAATCATTAAATAACTTCTCCCGCTCAGGGTGGACTGTCAGACTCTTACTGACTAAAAACCCCCCTGTTCCTTCTCCTGCTCTGGGCCGAGGTCGCGGTGACTAATTGCACTTACCCCGCAACGCCGCCTGATACCTTTTTTTGTGAGGGGAAAATCATTAAATGACTTCTCCCACCCAAGGCCGGGCAGGAGGGAGTGTCAGACTCTTACTGACTAAAAACCCCCCTGTTCCTTCTCCTGCTCTAGGCCGAGGTCGCGGTGACTCATTGCGCTCACCCCGCAACGCCTGATACCTTAATTTATTTTATTTTATTTATTATGGCTTAAAAGGTACATTTTACATTATAAAAAGTATAAAATGTCCAACAAAACTGTACACACAGTTTGTCTCTTGGATCAGATTTCAAAAAATAACTTAATAGAACCTATAGTAAGTCAATAGGACTTACTATAGGTATTCATATTTAATATAATATTATACCTTAATGTTTCCTACACTTATTAAGTAGGCTCATCATTTATTGACTTTAACTTCACTGTTATTTAACACATTCACAAAACTAAATCGAAATTTTTAATTAATTTCTTTGAAAATTTTCCAGAGCATGCCGTTCGGTAGCCTCGATGAGAAAAAGGTACATTTTCATGTATTTCTATATATTATGTATACCTATTTAAAGACATTAATTAGGCGATAATTGTAAATATATTTATCCTTTAAAAAATAAATAAAAAAACGAACACACTTCATCATACTTGAAATTATATCTTTTTCTTGAAACAATGAAACAATGAATTTATTTTTGCAAAAAGGCCATAAAACGGCACTTTTACACGTCAATTTATATGTGAAAAACTAGATGAAGCCGGCATTTCCTATCTGACTACTCTGAGAAGAAATGCCGAAACAAACTCAGAGGTCAGTCTCTTTTCAAGTCCAGACAATGTAACATAACATAATGTGAGAGAACCGTGCAAGTTCATTCTGTAGTGGTCTTTTGAGGAAAGAACCACACCAATTTAAGTGGACCCGTTCTGAAGACAGGCACGCAAGTGTCAGTTTGCAACTAGTATAGCTAGTGCTGCTGAGTTGTCCGACGAACAATACCGATCTAAAGAACATTTGGGTGGGTCGCGCAAGTACTCAAACTGTCAGAACTTGTTAATTATATACATATTTTCAACATTTTGCTCGTAAAAAAAAAAGAAAATAAAGATTAATTCTATACCTAATTAAAATCGTTAATTACAATCGGATGGCTTAGGGCCGGTTTTTTGATCCGTAGTTAACCCAACCAATTGTTAAAAATCTTGACTAATGGTTAAATATCGACAAAATGTGTTTTTTGATCATTAGTTAGCTTAACTAATTGTCAAATTATATATTATAAATTATAAATTATAAATTATAAATTATAAATTATAAATTATAAATTATAAATTATATTTAATATCCGGATATACTTAAAAAATAAATAAAAAAACGAACACACTCCGTCATACTTGAAATTATATCTTTTTCTTGTTAATTTTGTACATGTTTTTACCCTGCTAAGCTATCGTAAAAATTATGAAAATAAGAAAATAAAGATTGATTCTATAATTAAATTAGAATCGTTCATTACTATTTGTGTGATCCACAAATTGTTGTTCCGGGTCATGTGTATGTGAAATTGTATGTTTGTTAACGCAACCGCGACACGGGAGATAATCCCACTGTTTCTGTATTAAACCAATCTTTATTTTCGCACCAATATACCGAATAACTGTGCTAATTAAGGTTCAACTTCAAGATCCTTTTTTAATTTATAGAATCAGGCGTTACATTGCGGAAATCCATGACATTAAATGTTAGGAAAAATATTTAGTTTTAATTCCGCGACAAAAATCCAGGATTGTTGCGGGATGCAATCCCACTCCTATGCAATCATGCATTGCATGCGGATTGTCAAAATTCTTTCACTGATAGACCGCTACAAGGTTCCGGAGTGCTATAGGCTATAAAACATCACGCTACGATCAAAACGAGCCGAACAGCGGGTGAAATCGCGCGAGATTAGCTAGTTTTTAATAATTTTTAACGATTTTTTTTTAATTCTCAGCCTATGTCCTTATGGATTTTAGGGCTTGATTTTATTTAGACCAGGCAGGTAATTGTTCTAAAAACGGTAACTTGAATAAAATAACAATTCTTCAAGTGACCCCAAAACTATTGGAATTTAGCATCGCGTGATCCAGAATGAGAGCATTTTTTGAGCTTAGTGTACATGTTGAAAAACTTCATGGTGACCGGAGGTTAAGGTGCTCACTTCTCATATATGTATAATAGTTGTTTTTTTGTCCGGGGAAATCATCAAATGACTTCTCCCGCCCAGAGTGAGGCGAGAGAGAGAGAGTGTCAGACTCTTACTGACTAAAAACCCCCTGTTTCTTCTCCTGCTTTATGCCGTGGCCGCGGTGCCTCATTGCGCTTACCCCGCAACCCGGCTGAACATCAGCCCTATAGGGCCCCGTCTGTGGTGGTCTATTGGCTCTTTGAGTCGCGCGCAGAACGCTCGGGCCTGGTTCTGGTCGGGTGGCGCGCTTCCCTTACTCGCCGTTCGCAGACTGTACAAAAATATTGTTACTTGCCAAGTTTCACATCTTAATGCATGAGAAGCCAGCGCTTTGAGTTTGGCACGAGGGTCTAAACTAACCTTAAAATTACATTAATCGTTTTTACCTACATACCTTACGATTTAACCGAATAGTTTAACTCAATTCCTAAACTAGTTAAGTAGAAGGTTTTAAACGGACAACCGGTTCGCTATATTTTTGAACTGTGTAGTTAAAAATAAACTAAAATACAATGTGTAATAATAGTGATCTGAATTCGATGAGACACATAAAATTGAGTCGAGTCAATGAAATCAAAGTTGGAGTTGTTAGAAACGGACCTTTTTGGGTGGTGTGTAATTTGGTCAATATATTTTTTATAGAATAGGTTGGTAAGCAATTGGCGCCGCAAATGGACACCCGCAACACCAAAGGAGTTACGAGTGCGTTGCCGGCCTTTCGCGTTTCGGATTTTTGAGGATTGTGAAGGGAAAAGGAGAGGAATTGGGCCTCCTGTAACCTTACTCACACGCTGAAACACAACGCTGTGATTGTTTCCCACCGGTTTTTTGTGAGGCCGTGGTATCATTCAGGTCGAGCCGACACATTCGTGCCGAAGCATGGCTCTCCAACACTCATTCGTGCATGCGACAACATACTGCCTCGTCAACTCTATTTTTCGTCTCATTCCTCAGGTCCACCTTCGAGATGACATCAAGTCCATCCGCTCAGACAGTTCTGAAGAGAAGAAGTCCAAGGGTTGGAGGTTTGTGAGAAACGTGACGTCAGCAGCTGGTGCCTTCACTGCAAAGCCTAAGGAGGCCTCGACGACATTGCCTGGAACTCCTCAACCAAGTTTCCAGGTATGAGGAGATGGAAACTTTTGGATACTTCTATACTATACTAATATTATAAAGAGGTAAAATTTGTAAGTTTGTATGTAGGGGGTAATCTTTGGAACCGCTGGTCTGATTGCCAAAATTCTTTCACTGATACATAGCTACAATATTCCTGAGTGCTATAGGCTATAAAACATCACGCTACGATCTGTAGGAGCTGAGCAGCGGGTTAAACCGCGCGAGAGTAGCTAGTATTTTATAAATCTTGGTATTTACTTTTTTTGAAGTTTCCCGCTTATTTGATACATAAGGACTGTCTCCTTATTTAAAAATTTATACGTATAACAACATACATACGTTTACAACAAAGTCGTTTTCTTTATCCTCATTTTCATATGCTTATGCCTATATTTATTTTTGTCTTTTAAATTCAAATTCCGGCCGCGTTGATCACTTACCATCAAGAGTATGAACTTACCATAAGAAATGAGGCAAACGAACAGGCGGATTCGTTTGCCTCATTTTCCATAAAAAAGCCATAAAACTTGACTTAGTTATCTTACGTTTCCACTGCGGCAAATAAGAAGTGTAGACTTAAAAAACAATATATATTTTCCTTCCAGTCGAAACCGGACAGCAAAAATTCAGACTACGGTAAGGAAGACAAGAAGCCATCATTGCCATTTTATCCAAACGAAAAAGATGAAAACATTGGAGAAACAAACTCAGAAGTAAGTAAATTATTTTGATTGATAATAATACATCACATCTTAAGCCTTTAAGAGTCTACTGCTTAGCAAAGGCCTCTCCTCACACGGAGAAGGTTTGAACATTAACCACTACGCTTGCTCAAGGCGGGTTTTCGATTTCAAACTTATAATTAGAAATTATAAGTCCATGTTTCCTCACGATGTTTTCCTTCACCGTATGTCAGTGGTGTCTAAATAATCATAGAAAGTACATATAACTCGGAAAAAGTCACATTGGTACTTGCCAGGGCATGAGACGCCCTCTTGTATGAGAGGCGAACGATGTGGTTAAACCATAGATATTTTTTTTTATGTAATAAGTCGGCAAACGATCATACGTATTACCTGATGGTAAGAAATCAAGGTCGCCCATGGACACCCGCAACGGAGGAGTTACGAGTGCGTTGCCGACCTTTTAGGGATTAGGGATTTGGAGATTTAGGGATTGGGGAAGGGTCCGGGAAGGGGAGGGATTGGGCCTCCGGTAACCTCACTCACACGGCGAAACACAACGCTATGGTTGTTTCACGCCGGTTTTCTGTGAGGCCGTGGTATCACTCCGATCGAGCCGACCCATTCGTGGCGAAGCATGGCTCTCCCACACTACACTTTACACACAATATTAACACAGATATGTTATACCCTCACAAAACGCACGAAAAATGTGTTCCGCGCCAAGCGTGAGCACACTCACATACCTTTCATTAATTGTACATGTCACTACAAGTTAAATTGTAGAAAAAAGATAGTATGATAAATAAAACAAGAAAAAAATAATTAGCTATTGTTATCAATTACGTACTCAAAGTAAACAAACATTATTCTAAGAGAGACTAATTGCACTTGCATACAATTGTATCCTTTTCGAGTCTTCACTTTTGCGTGCATATAACGTATCTGTTAATTTATAATGTCATTTGGTCAAGCATAATGATATCCTGTGGCCCGAAATGAGGGAGTCAGTAAGAGTCTTACACTCCCACTTTTCACTTTCTTTTTTTTGTGAAGGGAAAATCATTAAATGACTTCTCCCGCCCAGGGCCGGGCAGGAGAGAGTGTCAGACTCTTACTGACTACAAACCCCTCTGTTCCTTCTCCTGCTCTGTGCCGAGGTCGCGGTGCCTCATTGCGCTTACCCCGCAACCCCGGCCTCGCATCAAAATATTTGCCAACCATAAAAAATAGGTAGGGAATAGATGATATGGATATAGGGATGGCAGATGGGGGGCAAATTGGATTGATCGATAAACATTCTAAAGTAAATAAATCTTCTAATTTCTAGGGTCTAGAACCAGAATCTCTATTATTCCGCGACGGGAGAAGAAGAATAGATATGGTGTTAGCTTATGAAGAAGAAGATTATGGAGTCATGACGGAGAATGAAGCGAGAAAGAGAGAACACAGGAGAACATTCCAAGTGAGTTAGATTAATTTTATAGGATCGATATTTGAGATATTTTAGGAAAAAGTTCAGCACACAAATTATCTGATGGTAAGCAAGCGATGCCGTCCATGGCCACCTGTGAGTTCATATCTAGAAATGTCGATGTCTTGCGATAGACAAATTCGTTTATGAATAACCTATATATAGAAACATTAAATACTTAAATCTCAAGAATTACTGGTCTAATTTGGTCTTTAAATATTTGTGGAAGTCCAGGAGAGGGAAAGTTCAAAAGGTTGCATATATTTTGAGGATGAAGGAAGTTTGCACATACATTTAGTTTAATATAAAAAAAACATTGATTTCAACGTTGTTAATTATGGTCTTAATTACAGGAAAACTTAGTAAAAGAAGGTCTAGAATTAGAATTAGAAAATAAATGTCTATCGTTTGACGAGAAGACTTGGTTCCTCAAAGTTCATATACCTTGGAAGACGGAAATGAGGCTGGCGGAGGTGATTGGCATGAAGCTGCCTACAAGACGATTTATAACAATATCAGTAAGAGCATGGGTAAGAATATTTTGCTTTGAAAATGCACGTGCTGTAAGTATTTGAGGGTTTCTCCAGTAGACCAAAATGGGAGACTAGGGAACCGTGATCTCATCCCACCCTAAGCGCTGGTCTGACAACGGTGAGCAAGGGTAGCTCGCTGCCCGACCAGAACCCGACTCGGGACGCACGGCACGTAACGTTCCGGGTGCGCCTCAAAGACCACCACAGATGACCCTATAGGGCTGATGTTCAGCCGGGGTTGCGGGGTAAGCGCAATAAGGCACCACGGTCTAGGCCTAGAGTAGAAGAAAGAACGGGGATGGTTTTAGTCAGCAAGAATCTGACACTCCCTCTCTCCTCACCCTGGGCATGTGATGGTAAATGATGTTCTTAGTATGCAGCACCTTTGCTTACTTCTCAGACATAAAAGACTTGATCCGTCATAGATTGATTGTAATTGTTTTGCAGAGTGATGAAAAACAAGCCGAGAAGGATAAGCACTGGTACTCAAAATGGCGCCGGCGATGGAAACAATTGTATGAATACGAACATACTAGGATAACTCCAGAACCGTCTTTTTATGGAGCTGCCGAAGAACGTGGAGCGAGACGAGAGGAAATGTTAGTATGACTTTGACTTTCTATTTTTTAGAATGATTACAAGTGCCATTAATCCAAGTATACATCTTAAACTTTATATCAAAGAAAATAAATGCCATTATTTATTCTGACAGATTCTTAGTAAAAGACCGGCACACACAGTTCTCACCAGCTCAAAGGAGTCTACTAGTCATGCAGATATTACTACGAGCTAAATATGACAATAATGAGACCAAGGTAAGACTAACTTTAAGCGGTTATGACTCAAGTTGAAAGGTACTAACGACTAGGTCTTTCTTCCTTGGGGATTTGAGTTTAGACTGAAGGCATCTGTACGTAGGGATAATATGATGGCTATGTATGGCATCCGATGTGCTTGACTGATCTAAAGGCCATCAGCATCACAGTATTATAGTGGTTGCGAAAACCACGTAGGTTGGAGACCGTCAGGACCATTAGCAATCGCCAGACGATTCCCGTCGAAGTAGCCTCTGCAATGGCCGGATTCGAGTCTAAAGACCTAAAGGCATTACGTAGCACCTGCTGGTAGAATGCGTAGCGTGAAACGTGAATTCTGATCACGTAAGAGAGGTTGACAAAGATCCATCATTACCTATCAGTGTGGTGAAGAAGACACCATATCATGGAAGAAGACTACGGAAAGGACAATGCGTCATTTCAGCTTCTTTTTTCGAAAGGTGCATGCATTTGGCCGCTATCAAGCCTGGTGGTAAACGATAATGTGACCTATGATGGAGCACGCCTACCCATAAGCAACCCATTCATTCGGACCTTGAAGACACTAAGGTTATACCCTTCGGGGAACACAGACTCCGGCAAGGAATTCCACTCCAGTTCCTCCATTTCAAACCTAATCGATTGTAGGATTCTTTATAACATTTCAGATGGGAATCCGTCGACTTTTAAACGATGGTACTTATACAGCGTGCTTCCCTTTGCATGAAGGAAGGTACGAAGTAAACTTGTCTGATGGGACCGTCACTGATAGAAGAGTAAGTTCGTCTTTTATTATTTCTTCTATAACAATCCATGCTTATACTACCGTCCCCAAGTCACCTCAGAGGTCTACTTGAGGACTAGCGTTGACTGGACATTATCATTTTTTATGTCATTGGTCGGCAAGCCAGCTGACGGATTACCTGATGGTAAGCAATCGTCGCCTTCCACAGATACTCGTAAAACAGTTACTACAAGTGCGTTGTGCTCAACATGTGGGCTGTTAAAGATTTATGGATAGGGGATTTGAGGACAGAGGATGGGAGGATGGTAGGGGGGGGGGGGATTCATGTATTGAGTCTCCGGTAACCTCACACGGCGAAACACAACGTAAGTGTTGCTTCACGCCGGTTTCTGTGAGGCCGTGGTTTCACTCCGGTCGAGCCGACCCATTCGTGCCGAAGAATGGCTCTTTCACACTTTCTTTTGTTAGAAGTGTTGATTTTTTATCTTGGTAATCTTTTTTCCAACTTGAATGTACGATTTCAAATACCTTTTTTTATGTGATAGGTCGGCAAACGGGCAGACGGATTACCTGATGGTAAGCAATCGTCGTCGCCTATAGATACTTGAAATACAATACGAGTTAGTACAAGTGCGTTGTCGGCCTCTTGTGGGTTGATAAAGATTAATTGGGGATTGAGGAATGGGAGAAGGAGGGTTAGGCCTCCGGTAACCCCACTCATACGGCTTCACATATACAGAATACTGTGGTTCTTTCTCATCAATTTTCTATGTGGCCGAGATTCCACGCTGGTCGAGCCGGCCCATTCGTGCCGAAGCATGGCTCTTTTTTTTTTTCGTGGTAATTCTTTTTTCCAACTTTAATATACGATTTGAAATGCCTACTTCGCCTCTCCCTGGACCATTTTGGAGTAATAGTTCTATAAATATTTTATCACTTTCAGCTTTTATATCTAGAATGGGCTCGTCCAGCTAAATGGTACAAAAAACAACCTTTATGGCTGGTCCGAAGGTACTTCGGTGATAAGATTGGCCTCTATTTCTGCTGGCTGGGGTTCTATACCAAGATGCTGTATGCACCAGCTATAGTGGGGACGCTCTGCTTTCTATATGGATTGGCTAGTATGGATTCTGAAGATAATATTCCTAGGTAAGTTGGTCGTTCTATTATACTACTTCATGGAGGAAGGGATTTTTAGGTTGTAAATCATCGAATGTGTTTTCTTGCCCTTATTCCGTTCAATATGTACATTTGAATTAACAAAAGCTCCCAAAGAGATACTCCAACAAATATGGGTAGAGACATTTAGTTCGCCATTATAAATAAATATGTAGCGACATCTATCGCACTACAATAACAACAGCACGTGCAAGATTCTACATCGCGGTATAAGAGTTCTCAACGCAATTAGAACCGATACAAAAATCCCGACAACAACCGTCGGGCAGTAGCCCACCAGACACAACACCCCTCTGTTCGGAGGGTCTTCCCTTTTCAATGGAGTATTTTCCACCCTGTTACCTCCAAAGATATTCAGAAGTCCCTATTGATCACGTATGTGCGTTAAAAGTTATCGAAGAATTACCTCAAACCTAATTTGTAGCAATATTTGGCTCTGTGGGATTTTTTGTTAATTGACTACTATTTTTATGCATATATTGACCGCACTACCTGGGTCGCGAAAGGGAGTGTCAGACTCTTAGGGGTTTTTTTTTGTCAGGGGAAAATCATCCAATGTCTTCTCAGACTCTTTAAAAACCCGCCGTTCCTTCTCCTGCTCTGGGCCGAGATCGCGGTGCCTCATTGCGCTTACTACTACTCTTTGAGGCGCGCGCGGAACGCTACGCGCCGTACGCTCGGGAGACTCTTTTAATACAATAAAAAAGGTTTACATACAGCCGTGGTGCGTGTAAAGCTGGGCTAAAATTATGATATGACTAAACAAATAACAAAAGAAAACCAAAAATCTATTCTGAGTAACTCATCCGCATTTTTCCCCACAGCAAAGAGATATGCGACACAAAGGGGCCAGGCAACACGACCCTCTGTCCTCTCTGTGACAAAGCTTGTCAATACCAGACGCTGTCAGACTCCTGTCTTTTCGCCAAGTTGACCTACCTCTTCGACAACCCTGCCACCGTCTTCTTCGCCATATTTATGTCTTTTTGGGGTGAGTAGACCATGCTACATGAAATCAAGACCTTAAAATATTTTTTTAAATCATATAAACTAGTCATCATCATCACCATCATCATCAACGTCCTCTGCTGGTCAAAGGCCTCCCCCTTAGCCCTCCACGTCGAACGACAAATTGCCACCTGCATCCATTGGCTCCCCGCGACTCTGACGATGTCGTCGGTCCACCTAGCGGGTGGCCTGCCCACACTACGTTTTCCGGTCCTTGGTCGCTACTCTAACACTTTTCGGGTCCATCGGTTGCTGTCCTTCGAGCGACTGTGATATAAACTAGTGCTTGACTGCAATCCCACCTGATGGTAAGCAGTGATGCAATCGATCTCCTTGAAGACTCCTAAATCATAACTGCACCTTGATTCTATAAAATTTGTTTGATTTTTAATCTTGTTCGAGTGTGAAGTGAGCATCGATTGGACGGAGAAATTACATTATAGAATGCCGCTTTTAACGTCATCTCATACTTTATCTATCAAAATGTTGCGGTCAATTTAGTTCAACTCGCAAGTGTAGCGCTAGTGTACTACTACTCACGGCGGATTCAGATTCGAAGTTTAGAATGAAGTCTTGCATAATGACACTGCTGGAAGCATAATCATATCCTCAAACAATGATAAACTATCCTTGACTTTATCAAATTTTCCAGCTACTACATTCCTTGAGCTTTGGAAACGGAAGCAGTCAGTGTTAAGATGGGAGTGGGACATGGGGGGTGTTGATCAGGTAATTAAAAACTTCATTATCCTTTTTGCAGTAATCTGATCTCTGAAGAAACTTAATTAGCTTGTTGTGTATTTCACCATGTATTTGTTGTTTCTTGAATATTTTCTGTGGTGTTTGGTGACTGGGCTTCTCCTAGTAGTGCAGTCTATTTTGTGCCTTAAAGGCTTAAGTTATTCTGTCTCTCTCCAGCTTCTGATTTATTTCGGTGCGGGATTTAAGATTTAAGATTGTTTAAGGCCCTCGGACATCAATGTTCCGGTGTTTTCATTATTGTATCTACTGTAGATCCTGGCTTATAGGAGATGCAGCGATTTTGCAAGATTGTAGCAGGCTTAATCCTTAAAAAAATGTGTGTGTTGTTGTAATTTACTCGTAAATTCTGTGGTGTCAATAATCGTGGTACCACGCGGTGCTGATGACCTGTCATCAAGTAACTCAGCTGCGTCAATGATTCCTTGAATTTCTGTTTCACATTTGGCAGGATGAAGATCCACGACCTGAATTCGAGGCTTCAGTAAAGACATTCCGAACTAACCCAGTGACCAGAGAGAAGGAGCCTTATTTACCCAACTGGCAAAAAACTGTGAAATACGTAGCAAGCAGCTCCGCTGTGTTATTCATGGTAATTATTTTTATATATTTGGTTTAAAAAAACACATTTCTGATAGATTTGGGCCCAATAGGCTACCCTGTGGAAGGCCTGATTTATTTTGGAATTAAGTATGTTTTTCTTCGATGCTTCTTCCAACATCAGATTTCTTTAATAGAAATAGGAGAACTGTAACACTTGTTTTATTTTTAAAGTGTGTTTTAATACCTAACTTTGTCGAATGCATGACTGAGATCTAAGAAGAACGATATCTTTTTCTTTGATACTCAACTCGTAATAGTTCCGTGGTCTTCTCCAAACCTGAACCGGTGTGTTGATATTACATCAGCTGAGTGTTCTCTCGGTGTTAAGGAAGTTTAATTTCAATCTTCTTCTAAGCTTCGTCTCATGGTAAGCACTTTGTGCAGAACATTGACATCCGCAACACCAGAGGAGTTACGAGTGCGATGCCATTTGGAGATTCGGGGATATGAAAATTAAGGATGAAAGGAGAACTGAGTTTCCATTACCCAAACCCAGAAGTTAGCATCTCACCATCGGGTTAGATCCTTAACTTATTATTGATCGTTAACTAATAATACTAAGGGACGAGTCTCTTAGCTTGATAGCCTATCCAGCCAACGATGTTTCAAAACTAACTTGTCCTATCGATCTATTTCTTTCAACAGATCGCGATAGTTATGGGCGCTGTCCTAGGCACCATTATCTACAGGATATCAATGGTATCCGTCATTTATGGCGGCACGGGAATCTTCATCCAACGCCATGCCAAGATCTTCACCACCATGACCGCTGCCATCATCAATTTAATCATCATCATGATTTTGACTAGGGTGAGCAAAAACTAATTTAGTTTGTTTATTAATCTTAATAGAGTGGTTTCCAAAAAGTTTATATTACTTATGCAATAGTTTGTCATATTCTTAGAAAGAAAAACTATATTGAATGTATGTGTAAGTTAGAAAAAAGGTATGTTTTTTTCTTTTTAGTTTTTGACACACAGTTCTTTATATCGCTTACGTTTCTCCTACCGAAGGGCTGCTCCTATGGAAACGATTCCAGACGGGATATCTACCACTATTTCCATCATATTGCTTGCCTATTATACCTATTCCACTTTATGTATAGATCACTACATAGTTTAAAACAAAAGTCGCTTTCTCTCTCCTACATAAGAAAGAAAGAAAAATAATTTATTAGATAACGGATTTTGATGCGGTTTTTTTAAATATAGAAATGTCATCATTGCACTCTTAGCGAAGCCACGTTTGGTTCGGTAGTAATAAATAAATGAACAAAATTGCTTATTACAGATATATGCAAAAATAGCAGTATACCTGACCAACATGGAGAACCCACGGACACAGACAGAGTATGAAGACTCTTACACCTTCAAGATATTCTTCTTTGAGTTCATGAACTTCTACTCCTCACTGATCTACATAGCCTTCTTCAAAGTAAGCAATCAACTTATTATTTTTTATGGGATGGGACAGCAAACGTGCTTGCGGTTGACCTGATGGTAAGCAATCAGCGCCACCCTTGGACATCCGCTACAACTGAGAAGTAATGAGTGCGTTGTCGGCCTTTTGGGAATTAGGGATTTGAACATTTTGGGATTGGGAACCCACAGGCGAAACACGACGCTGTGGTTGTTTCATGCCGGTTTTCTGTGAGGCAGTGGTATCACTCCGGTCGAGCCGACCCATTCGTGCCGAAGCATGGCTCTCCCACTATCTTCATTCATTTCCCTTCACTCTTCATCGTTCATACATTCCTTCCTGCTCATTCATCCGTCCGGTATTAACTTCACAGTAATATCATCCAACATTTTTCCCAGGGCCGTTTCTACGACTACCCAGGCGATGATCAAGCGAGGAAATCGGAATTTTTCAAACTTAAAGGTGACATTTGCGACCCGGCCGGCTGTCTTTCAGAGCTGTGCATACAACTGGCCATCATCATGATCGGAAAGCAATTTGTCAACAACTTCGTCGAACTCGGATACCCGTACGTACGTGTGTTTGTGGATGTCTCTATTTTAAGTGGTAATGGAGCCTTTTTGAGGGGGGGGGGTATAATGGCTTTCCTCGTCCTTGATGGGGCGAGAGGAAGTGTCAGACTCTTACACCCGGTTTCTGAAAGGCTTGTCAACGCTAAAATTAGGTAACTAATCTCCTGTTAAATCTCTTGTCAAGTCTTCTGATTGGTTGTTGATAATTCAGTCAACCAATCAGATGACTTGACAAGAGATCAAATTGATTTTAACATTGTTCGGTCTTTCGGAAACCGGGCATTACTGATTGAAAGGATGTGGTGGTTACGTTCGTTCTTCAACTCCAGATGAACGGTGCTTAACCCGTAATCCTGGCAAGTAATATAGGTGTTACTTTTAAATAATAATAAAAGTTGTCTAAAGGGCCTCTGCGCAGTTGGCTCCGGCCCCTCGTACGCCTTCCAAATGACCGGGATCCTGTTCCGTGATTGGTAAAGAAATACATAATAATAAATCATTTATTTGCCAGAAATATGGTGATACAAAACATGTTCCTACAGTTTTGTAGGCGTAGTACATAAAATATTTAACCCTCATTTTGGGCATGCAAAATAACATTAATCTTAATAAAAACACAAGTGCAGAGACTAATTAGACTAAGTAATTTTTTTGATGGGAGAAATCATCATGTGGCTTCTCTAGTCTCTTCTCTTATTCTGAATAGGATGAGAGGGACTTATTGACTAAAAACCAACCCGTTCTTGCTCCTTCTCTAGACCGTAGCGGTACCTTTTTGCGCTTAGCCAGCGATAAAGTGGTATTGGTTGAATGAAAATGAAATTTAAATTTCATTCAATTAATATTGTTGAATTATGTCGTGGTGGCCAGGAGGTTAAGGAACCCGCTTCTCATGCATGAGGGTGTAGGTTCGAAACCTGGCAAGTACCAATATGACTTTTTCCGAGTTATATGTACTTTCTATGATTATTTAGACACCACTGACATACGGTGAAGGAAAACATCGTGAGGAAACCTGGACTTATAATTTCTAATTATAAGTTTGAAATCGCCAACACGCATTGAGCAAGCGTTGTGATTAATGATCTAACCTTCTTAGTGTGAGAAGAGGCCTTTGCTCAGCAGTGGGCACTTATAGGCTGATGATAATAATATTTATTAGCTCGCAAACTTCACTTGCGCGATGTAGGACTTGTTACGCCATCTATTGTAAATTATTGTCAATCTATGTGAATCACCACAATACTAGAGTAACGATGGAGTTTCTTGCTCGTTCTTCTCATTTCGAATCTACAATTTGGAACGAGCACCTAGCTTCACTGACAAACAGACTGACAGACCACTATTCTATTTTAACGTTTCAAAAGTACCTATTTATGGTTTAGTTGGAATAAATGATTTTGACTTTGACTGAGTTACGTAGCGACCTTACACTTTTGACTTAAAAGAATTATTTTCTTATACGATAACTATTTCATTGTCTTATTGACTGATTAAATTGATTTTTATTATTAAGAAGAGCATGAGAAGCGAGCCCATCATCTAGAATCTGTACATTATTTCTTCATCCCCAGGAAATTCCACAACTGGTGGCGGCAGAGGTCTCATAGAGCTGTCACCAGGGACCTGACTAAGCCTCATATGGCTTGGGAACAAGATTACCATTTACAAGACCCTGGAAGACTGGCTTTGTTTGACGAGTATCTGGAAATGAGTGAGTAGTTCACTAACTAACTAACTAACTAACTTTAAGTATGGGAGAGCCATGCTTCGGCACGAATGGGTCGGCTCGACCGGAGTGATACCACGGCCTCACAGAAAACCGGCGTGAAACAACCACAGCGTTGTGTTTCGCCGTGTGAGTGAGGTTACCGGAGGCCCAATCCCTCCCCTCCCCCAATCCCTCCTCAATCCCTAAATCTCCAAATCCCTAATCCCTAAAAGGTCGGCAACGCACTAGTAACTCCTCTGATGCGGGTGTCCATGAGCGGCGCTGATTGCTTACCATCAGGTAATCCTGATGGTAAAAAACTACTAGGATAGGAGGAGGAGTTTTTATTATAACTTTCGTGAGACATTCTAAATTAATCATTATGTTTTCGGCTCACTCACGTAATAATTTGACGAGTTACTCGACTAGTTTCAAGCCATGCTAGAGGCCCATATTCAGTTAGTTCCAGTAGCAACACGACAGTCGCCGCGTCGCGTGTCGCGTAATGCTGCTCATGAATATGGGCCTCTAGCATCTCGTCAAATTATTACGTGAACAAAAACATAATAATTAATTTAGGATAGGAGTTATAATTCTGTTTTTAGGTAGTAAACTAGGAATCATAAACTCGTCTATATAGTTTGTATAAATTAGTTACCCAAATCCCTAAGAGATGGCGCTGTGCTGTACTGTTGCTACTTACGCTGAATTGCGGTTTTGAGATTTACAATAACTCTCATGTGGGGATACTTATTGTGATAAACTGGGAACTACGAAACCCTACACTGAACGTAGCCCGATATACTCTTGGCCGGTTTTATTGTATTTCATAATTTATGGTCAATTCCTAAAGTGGAAGAGACATACGATTAGGCCAGAATGATTCCACGGCCTTTTTTGTTATGTTATAAGAAGGCTAACGAGCAGACGGATTACCTGATGGTAAGCAATCGGCGCCGCCCATGGACACTCGCAACACTAGAGGAGTTACGAGTGCGTTGCCGACCTTTTAGGGATTAGGGATTTGGAGATTTAGAGATTTGGGAAGAGGAAGAAGGATTGGGCCTCCAGTAACCTCACTCACCCGGTGAAACACAACACTGTGGTTGTTTCACGCCGGTTTTCTGTGAGGCCGTGGTATCACTCCGGTCGAGCCGACCCATTCGTGCCGAAGCATGGCTCTCCCACACTTAAACTTGGTGTACACCTCATTTATGAATTAATAATTAAATGACCACTTGAGCTGATGATGATGATGATGATGATAATCTCTAAATATCTAAAGTACAAAATCTTTTTAAATATTACAGTTCTCCAATACGGTTTCGTAACGCTCTTTGTGGCTGCGTTTCCCCTCGCGCCCTTGTTTGCTCTCCTCAACAATATCGCGGAGATACGACTGGATGCCTACAAAATGGTGACGCAGGCTCGCAGACCCTTGGCTGAGAGAGTCGAAGATATTGGAGCTTGGTAAGTCCTGGATCCAGGTCCAAATAACCTTCCACTAGAATTGGGTCGTTTCATAGGTCAAAAATAAATTAATTCGATGTTTCAATACAATAAAATATTGATAAATAACTATACTTTTATTCATCGATCGATCGATACACTACTTGAGTTTTAGATATTTTTTAGCTAATTATTAAGAAATAAGTAAGCTGTTTGACGTGTAAATATATGTACTATAACGTCATAACTCAGTTTTTCATATAAATTTCATAGAAAAGTACCGTTTTTGACGTTTGGATAAAAATATTGAATTTGACTAGTTGGAAACTACCGTATTACATGATAATATAAGAACAGTCTAGTCTTTACACAGGAATCTTTAATACGTAAGTAGCTAAATCAAATTTCTAATTCCTACCAAAAGGTTGGCAACTTACTTGGAATTTGTATGGTGATGCCAGTGTACTCAATGATTCTTATGTATGAAATTCGGATTTTCTCCTGTGTCGTGGGTGCGTTAACAAACATACAATTTCACATACACATTACACCTAGACCAGGAACGACCAGGATCTGTGGATCGCACAAAGAGTTGTTTTGTGCGGGAATGGAACCCGCGATACATAGCGTGGCAGCCATTTGTTTAGTTTACCGGACTAACGGTGGTCGGTACGTCGTGGTGGCCTGGAGGTTAAGGAGCCCGCTTCTCATGCATGAGGGTGTGGGTTCGAAACCTGGCAAGTACCAATGTGACTTTTTCCGAGTTATATGTACTTTCTATGATTATTTAGACACCACTGACATACATCGTGAGGAAACCTGGACTTATAATTTCTAATTGTAAGTTTGAAATCGCCAACCCGCATTAAGCAAGCGTGGTGATTATGCTCAAACCTTCTCCGTGTGAGAAGAGGCCTGTTCGCGCGCCTGATGGTTTTTTCAGAGCAACAACTTACGCTCATGAAATGTATAAATTGTGAAGAATTCTGAAAATTACCCCACTTGCTATACTTAACTGCTGTAGTTAGCACCCATTAAAGTTTAATTATTTAAAACCGTGTTCGAGTATATTTTTCCTAAGTCCATCCACATCAACCCTGGTTCCGTACATGGTCCGTATCGAGCCTGATGACACTAACTAAAGAGGAGATCAGCGATTTTATCTGAAGAGGAATCAAGTACTGAAATTTTCCACCGTGACGTGGAGATTTGCCGGTGGATTGGATTGAGTTCGAACAAATGGTTTTAGCGGTGTACAGTATTTTAAATAACTAATATCATCACCCAACACTCAGGTAGTATATAAGTAAATTATATTTAAGGTCAGTAATATTTATTTAACTACTTATTGTATTTGTTTGATCATTAGAATCATTAGATATTCTTTTACATTGTGATTAGTATTTTTAACAGTAAATCTTAAGTTTAAATTATACTCACTGCAGTATAGTTAGTTAATTGCTACATTATTTAAATTTAATTTAATCAAAGCTGTAACTATTTCACATAATTTATAACTACTTAGTAGATATAATTATTAGCAGGTATCTTGACATAATACAAATAATTTGAGTGTTAGATATTAGTGCAAGTCATTGTAAAAATTCAACAAGTTATTAGTAATTTAGAATCGTTTATGTAATAAGTAGGAATTAGTATTTTAATTGAATTAATTGTGCTCATTTATTTAGTTTATATAAAAGTTTACAACATTATAAATTGTAGGTAGTTTTACGAAAAGTTATACAATATTAATTTACTTATTTTGTAATTGTTATTAATTTGTAGGTTCTGTGTCGCTTTATAAAAGCATTTGGGCAGTGTATAAAACACAGTTAGGTGTGTCTTAGTCATATTGTTTGCTAGGTTTAATTGTATTCCTGTATCTATTCCAGGTTGACAATACTCATCTCCCAGTATGTCCGAGGAAAGGGATTTAATTAAAAAGCGCGGCAGCTTTAAGGGTCGCTTGACTGCTTTCGTCACCTTCCTGGACTCACTCAAGGACAAAGTATTAAGTAGTTGTGATGTGTCCGAGTTGCAGTTGCGCATGGGTAAGATGGAGTCATTGTACGAACAATATGATGAGGTGCAGTTGCGTCTGGAATGCATTGCTGACGATATTAAGGTACATAATTCCGAGCGTACCGAGTTCGAGTCACTTTATTACAAAGCGTTGTCCAGAGCGCAAACCACTCTCAATGACAGTAACAAAGAGGATAAGTCGATGGAAAGCTGTAGGAGTACACTTGCTAGCATACACAAACCAGTAAAATTACCAACGATACAATTACCAAAGTTTAGCGGGTCATATTGCAATTGGTTGGAATTTCGTGATACCTTCACTAGTCTAATTCACAGTAACGACGAAATTGATGAGGTTAACAAATTCCACTACCTAAGAGCCTCTCTTGAGGGACCTGCTGCCGTCATCATCAAGTCAATTGAGTTTTCTTCGAGCAATTACTCTGTGGCATGGAGTTTGTTACTCGATCGATTTGACAACAAACGATTATTAGCGCAAAATCATGTGTCTGCCTTGTATCACATTGATGCGGTTACAAAGGAATCGTCGGTTGCTCTCAAAGGATTAATCGATCAATTAAATAAGGACTTGCGAGCATTAGAGTCGTTAGGTGAGCCTGTAAAGCACTGGGACACTTTTTTGATATACCACGTCACTCAAAAAATTGATCATAGGACCTATCGTGAATGGGAGGAGTTTAAGGGTAGGATTGACAAAGAAAGTTCGATTACGTTCGATATGTTCATGCAATTCCTACGCACTCGAGCCGATTTGATCGAGAACTTAGAACGCCTTCAAACTAATAATAATAATTCGCAAACGGCAGGTAGATCCAACCCTAAGATCAAGTCGATGTTGGTTAATCAACCTCATAATAGTCCCAGCATCGAAACAGCTCCCAAAGTATGTCCTAAATGTAACAGTAATCACACATTAAATAATTGTCCACAGTTTCTCGCATTAAGCGTTGATGCTCGTATTAAACTTCTACCTACTTATAAGATTTGTTTAATTGTTTTCGGTCAGGTCACTTCGCTAACAAATGTAAAAAAGCCGGTTGTAAACTATGTAAGCGTAGGCACAACACACTAATTCACATCAATTCTAAAGATAACATTATCGCAAATACACACAGTGGCAATTCGTCTAACAATAACTTGTCTTCATCATCCGTACCGTCTGCTACCACAGACACGAATAACGTTACGTTGTCAGCACACATTGCATCCTCTCAAGGTCATACGCAGCGTGATGTTTTGCTATCGACCGCATTGGTCAAACTACGGGATCAAACTGGCTGTGTGCATGTCGTTCGCTCGGTCCTAGACAGCGGTAGCACTTCGTCATTCATAACGGAACGGTTATGTAAAAAACTTAATTTATTCACGAGCCAGGTAAACAAATTTATACTTGGCATAAATAATGTTTCTTCGCACGTAGGTAAAACATGTCGAGTTGATATGACGTCTTTGGATGATCATTTTAATTTCAACCTTCATTGTTTGGTTTTGCCATTTATCACGAGTGAGGTACCGTGCCGTGAAATAAATATTAATAATTTCGATCTACCTTCGAATATCACTTTAGCTGATCCTAAGTTTTATGAACCCGCTGATGTTGATTTATTAATCGGCGCTGATCTGTTTTGGAAGTTATTAGGATCACAAAAATTAGAATTAGGTAATGGAAAGCCAATATTATATAAAACCCATTTAGGATGGATAGTTTCCGGTCCAATTCTTACTAATGATTTAAAATGTAATTTTTGTAAAGATGTTTCCCATGATCATAAATATGTTAGTTCATTTGATTTGCCAGAACAAAGATTATGTGAGAAAGAACCTTCAATTCTGGGAGATTCTTTCAAGAAAGCAACACACTGCTGCCTATCATTAGTCTCGCGGGACTTGCCTGCTTCGATTGACGTAGATATTGCACCTCACGAGCCCGACAAGTTACTTGGTGTGGGTCGGTATCCCGCTTCCGATGATTTAGGGTTTCCTAAAATTCCGAGCGAGTCCTTGGCTAGGCATAGTGAACGCGATTTATTATCATTGATACGAAAAGTGATTACATTAGTGCTTTCATTTATTTTAGTCGTTATTATAATTTATTTACTTTAAGATTTATTTAATCATATAGGAAACAATACATTTATTTTTTGTTTCATGTTAATAAAACCCACCTTATCTCATTACAGTCCACTCATCAGTTTACAAAATTATTGTTTAATTTCGAGCATATATGACTGATGCACGCTGGCCCACATTTGCTATTAGCTCCCATAAGGGAATCATACTGGCCAAGAAGGTCGCAACTTGGCGAAGACTTGTACTCATAAGTGTGTTCCATGTCGCCGCATGAAGGGACGGGTAGTTAGTCCTATACTGGGCAACTTACCACGAGAACGACTTCGTCCAGGTTATCCCTTTGAGAGCACCGGCGTTGGTTATGCCGAGCCTATTATTGTGTGCTAGTCGTCGGGGTTACGGATTCAGGCTGGTGAAGGTGCATGTAGGATTTTTTATATGTTTTCCGATCAAACCCATTCATTTGGTGTCAACTCGTTGGCGATTTAATTAGTAAGGGTTATTTACTAGCGTTGCATCGATTGATTGCTTGAGGAGGTACATAAGCCCGTTGATATTTTTTCGGACAACGGTATCTCATTTATCGGTGCGTACAATGACCTTTCTAATTTCTAAAGGAAAATACTTTGGCCTTGGGTGAAAGTGCCGCGAATGACGGAATTAAAATTTCATTTTTATCCCTGCGTACATCCCGCACTTCGGTACCTTCTGGGAGGCGAGTGTAGTCGACAAGGTACATCGTCAAACGAGTGTTGGGACATTGTATTTTAATTTTTATAAACTGTAAACCTCACTGACTGAAATCGAAGCCATTTCGAACTCTCATCCACTAACGCCCCTATCTTCAGATCCTGCAGATTGCACACCGCTGACGCGCAACCTTGCTTGTGGTGATTAAGGAGGATAATTTCCCTCCGTTGAAGTGGAGACTTGGCCGTGTGGTGGCGGTTCACCCAGAAACAGACGACATCGCTTGTGTTGCTGACATCCAGACGGCCACTGGCATCGTACGAGGGGCATTCAACTGAGTCGGCCCACTACTTGTGACTTCGGAGTTTGGTTGAAACCGTTGCTTTCAACGCCCGGGGGCATGTTCGCGCGCCTGATGGTTTTTTCAGAGCAACAACTTACGCTCATGAAATGTATAAATTGTGAAGAATTCTGAAAATTACCCCACTTGCTATACTTAACTGCTGTAGTTAGCACCCATTAAAGTTTATTAATTTAAAACCGTGTTCGAGTATATTTTTCCTGAGTCCATCCACATCAACCCTGGTTCCGTACAAGGCCTTTGCTCAGCAGTGGGCACTTATAGGCTGATGATGATGATGATGACTAACGGTGCAGTCTAAAGTAAAATAAAATTAATTATAAGTATTTTTATTTTATGTTTCAATAGTAACTAATTACCGTGAAACATACTCCATTTATTGAAAACTAGCTTTTGCCCGTGACTTCGTTAGCGTGGAAGTGACTACCTGTAGATTTTTTGTATAAAAACTATCCTAATTTCTTTCTCGTTCCAAACTATGTCTGTACCAAATATGACAGAAATCGGTTCAGTAGTTTAGCTTAAAGAAAAGATAGACAGACATACAGAGTTACTTTCGTATGGATAATATTAATTTGGATTTGGATAAATAGCTTTACTCGTTTCAAGTCATATTAGGACTTTTATTACTGATACATACATAACCAGTAGAGCTTTTATCAATACCTAGATTGACGTGGCCAAATTGTTCTTTTTATAACTTTTTTATTTCATTTTATTTATTTAACTTTTTGCCATAAAACGTAGAAAGTTTGATTGAAACCAAAAGGCATCTTGCATACCAACCTTATGGCGATACAGGAAAACATCATCGGTGCATGGTATTGTATCTCTTTTGTTATTGAGAAGGTATCCGTGGGCGGAGCTGATTGCTTACCATCAGGTACCTAATACAAAGTCAAAATCATTTTATTCCAACTAAACCATAAATAGGTACTTTTGAAACGTCAAAATAGAAAAGTAGTCTGTCAGTCTGTTCCTCAGTAAAGATAGGTTAGGTATTATTACTATTAGTTAACCCCCTATCCCATAACAAAACACCGATATTAACAAAGAATGTTTAATTGATTCCAGGTACGGTATTTTAAAAGGAATAACATACGCTGCCGTAGTATCAAACGTAAGTTTATTACATACAACATTAAACACATTTTTTTTAATAATTTTAATACAATTCTAAGCAACTTTACATATTTTTCATTCATTCGATCATAATCATTAGATCATTCTCAGAATAGAATAGCGCCATCTACAAACGCTCTCCAGTAAACTGCACCACGTAGTTCATATCTCGTCCGATAGATGGCGCTGTAATACGTTTTTGTTTACAGGCTTTCGTGATAGCGTACACCAGTGATTTCATACCTCGAATGGTTTATAAATACGTGTATTCGCCTGATAACACTTTGGCTGGATATATTGATCACTCTCTGTCACGTAAGTATTAACTTTTTGTTTAAGTACTTTTGTAAGAAGAAGATTTTCTAGCTTCTTGTAGCTATCTTGTAAATCTAAAGGTTATGAGCGAGAGCGTTCTTTAATTTTTTATCTCTTTATTTCATTGACTAATAATTGAAAAGACTATTTTCGATTGTTTTTACATACATAACCCATTTGTGGACGACTGAATTGGCTATCTTGTAAATAATAACGTTATGAGAGTAAATACCAAACAAGACAAGCAAAAGGGTTCACACTGCACGGTCGGTGCGATGGCTGGGTAACCAGCTGCCGCGCAACGTGTCGCGAATTCAATGCCCGCACGGAACTGGTCCACCCATGAAACAGGAAAAAATCCCAGTGATGAACTGAATCCCAGTGTCCATTTTTCTTTAAAAAAGCAGCCTTCTTTGATTACTTGTTTCTTTCTCAGTATTCAACACTTCAGACTACCAAGAAGATTGGGGGGCTGATGAGAATGAGGTAGACCCCCCAGTTTGTGCATACCGAGGGTACAGGAACCCTCCAGATCATGCTGATCCCTACGGCTTATCTCCTCATTATTGGCACGTTTTTGCCGCTCGACTGGCGTTTGTCGTAGTTTTTGAGGTAAGGAGGATTATTATTGGATGTTTTTGCGCCATCTAAGTGTAATAGAAATTGAATGCAACTGTTACACAATATGCGAATTTTTTAATGAGAAATTTCTTATAAAACAAAGTTGCTTCCCGCTGTCTGTCCCTATAAAAGCTTAAATCTTTAAAACTGCGCGACAGAATAATTAGGATGTTTATTTTTTATACATAAATTGACCCAAGAGAAAGGTTTCGATATATATTTTTTTAAGATTTGCTGACAAAGTGGGCGACATGAAGGTCGTTATCAATATTTTGCAAATTTTCAATGTACATTGCTTCTGTAACTAACATCTAAATGTTTTTGTATTTTACAGCACGTGGTCTTCGGCCTAACGGGCTTGATGCAACTCTTCATACCTGACGTACCGAGTGAGTTACGGACTCAGATGCAAAGGGAAGCACTCCTGGCTAAGGAAGCCAAGTATGAACATGGAAGGAGAAGGTTGTCCACTGAATATCGTCAACTACTTACACAGAAGAGCGAGAGTGGACCTGGTAAGTTATGTTACTCTTATAAAAGGCTAGTTATTTATTTATTTTCTTTGGCTCTTCAATAATGAGTACACTTTTACATTTGTGATTGTACATTCATACTAAGTCTAAGTGCCTCATCACTTACCACATGCACTATAATTTACGCATAAACCGCGATAACATATAATAAACCACAGAAAATAAAATAGGAAATCCGACCAGCGATTCCAAAGAAATAAGGTCATGGTGGCCCCGAGGTTATGGCGCCCGCTTCTCAAGCATGAGGGTGTGGGTTCGAAACCTGGCAAGTACCAATGTGACTTTTTCCGAGTTATATGTACTTTCTATGACTATTTAGACACCACTGACATACGGTGAAGGTGAGGAAACCTGGACTTATAATTTCAAACAATCTCAGTGGGAGAAGAGGCCTTTGCTCAGCAGTGGGCACTTGTAGGTTAATGATGATGATGATGGATGATGATTCCAAAGATTACCCTCTTACTAAAATATTAAAGTCTTTATAATTGCTAATATTTCATATGTTTTTGTTATAGAAAAGCCCACTGGTGGAGCTTGGCTGCGTCGAGCGTCGCGTGCTTCAGATGTCCTAGACGCTCACATATCAGTATCCCAAAGACCAACCTCGCCTCGAATAGTTCACTGACAATAGTTTTATTAGTTTTCTATAGCAATTAACATTTCAGGATAAATTGAATAATTTTATGAAACCTTTTTCTTTGTAGTAAAACGATCGCGAAACATATTACTTAAATTTTACTACTTACGCATGTAACTGTTTGATAGAAAATTACATATTTTCTTTGCTTTGGAGCTCAAACTTAAGCTCGAGAAGCCGGATAACGGATATTTATTTAATATGAATTTTAATATAGGTATACTTTTTTTTATAACAAAATTAATACATGAGACTTTTCCCCCGCACCATCTCCTTTTCGAGAGACGATATTTTTTTTCTTGCGTTGTTAAAATTTTTTTATCAGACATATTTGAGAAATAACGTGTGATTATCTTCGTAGAAATGTACTTAATTGTGGCATAATTCAATCCATTTATTACTGAGCAATCACCCTCAAATCTAAAGTCTAGTTATTTTCTTTTCGAGAAAGCTACTCATGATTTTGTGGTTTAAACACTAGTCTCATCACTTTCTCAAGCAGTTGCGTGTGTAAGCTATACAACCTATTTAAAACCAAATATTCAATATGAAAACTGTGTTCACATAGATACATTATTTTCCAGAGACGTGTAAAAAAATTCGGTATACATTAAATACACGCTTCTGGAATAATGGGTTTGATGACATAATTGGGTAGTTTCCTTAGTCAAAACTAAATAAATTTAACTTTTCAACACAATCGTGAAACAATTTTTTTTTATAGTAACTATGAAATTAACGACTTAATCAAGTGAATAAACTGAGAAGAGGTCTACTAGTTTCAAGTCAACACGGGATACTTGTTCTTGAGCAGCGTGCGCGTCGCAGCAATGTCGCGCAATTTGACTAGTAGGAAACTATCGAATTATTATGTGAAACAAAAATCAATTTTAAAATATCACATTTCAATGTAAATCGTTATCATTATCAGAATCGATATTTTGTGAAATATATTTTTAAGACACATTTTAAGGGTCCAATAGTAAAAAATTCGATGCTTTAAAAGTGTGACGTCAGTGAATGCAAACTAGTCTACTGAGCTTGTGATAGTGAGTTTTTTTCTAACTAGAGCTATTGTTCAGGTTTAGAAAATCTGTAGTATACTTAGAGTGATGAATTTTCAATCTACCACTAGACGATCCATACTTAGGTTCAAGGTTTCGCGACAATGTCAAAGTTTGTACCTAAGTATTGATAGATGCATATAGTAAAGTAATAATACTAAAAATTAATAAAATACTGAAATAGAATTATTATGAAAATACAAGTAATTTGAAAAAAAAGCACAACAGCACCATATGTTTTGTTGCTTAAACTTATTAGGAAATTAAAATTAGGGTCAACACTAAGAGATGGTAGCATCGTCAACTTACAATACTCTTTAATATCGGAGTTTCCAGCCACTGGATGGATGTATGACCCAAACATAGACTATGTACATTCAAAATCGAAGCCAGCAGAAGGAGAAAGTTAGACAAATTATTAAAATATAACAATGTATTTAAACGTCTGCCTACACAATTTAGATACTGTCCCACTTTTAAAGCATCATACAATGTTTCCTAAGTCTTAGATAGTTAAATTATTTATTGTTATTAGTTAAGTCAAACTAAACTAAAATAAATATCTTATCTTATTATAATATATTTATGGTATAGTTTTGTAACGATGTACCAAGATCTCAACATAACAATACTATAAAATTGCTTTGTATTTTATAAGCCGATACAATACGTATCTAACTGAAACAATTTCCTAAATAAATATAAGACATTTGTTTTAGTTTAAATTTTAATATTTAGGTGGCAACCATTGATATTAAAAACTTGGTATTTAATTAGATGACACGATTTGATTAGCAACGGTAGTACAATTTCAGTTGGTCAAAATAGCTTCAATCGAAATAACTTTACAACGCCATCTACCGCAAGAGGTTTAAAACAAAGGTTTGTTGGAATACAAATATAGATGGCGTTCTCTTAAACTCTGGTTGAAAATGAAAAAGCAAATAATGGCTTATGCTTTACAATATTTATTTTTCTGAATTCGTTGGTCAAGGGTTAGATGTACTGAAAAAGGGTTCAGGACTATCAAAACGCTGCAGTTTTCTGAAATGTACATCCTTAGTCGACTTTTACAAGGTCTTCGTGAAGAGCGATGAGAAACGTACAGTATTCTTCTTTCAATGAGACATAAGTTCGCAAAAGAGCCGATGTATCACCTTCGGTATGGATGGTACACATCCGTCGCTCCCTACAGACACTTGCAATACCAAAGGAATTCCAACAGCATTGCCATTTGTGGGTCATCAGATATTTAAAAGTTGGAGAGATTACATGGCGTCTTCGGTAAGCTCACTCACACAGCGAAACACAAAACACACAACAAACGTAAAACTAAGTGTGGGAGAGCCATGCTTCGGCACGAATGTGTCGGCTCGACCGGAGTGATACCACGGCCTCACAGAAAACCGGCGTGAAATAACCACAGCGTTGTGTTTCGCCGTGTGAGTGAGGTTACCGGAGGCCCAAACCTTTCCCTCCCCCAATCCCTCCTAAATCCCTGAATCTCTAAAAGGTCGGTAACTCCTCCGTTGCGAGTGTCCATGGGCGGCGCTGATTGCTTACCATCAGGTAATCCGTCTGCTCGTTTGCCGACCTATTACATAAAAAAAACAATATAACAACGTGGTTTTGCCACAATTTCTGTGCGGTCGCCTGCCATATCACTCCGGTTCAGCCGACCCATTCCAGCCGAAGCATAGCTATTCCATACCTAAAAACATCTTACTAGCAACATCATCTAAACTGAAAATGTACATCCGTGATTCTTCACGCAAATAACTATTAAAAAAGTGTCAAAAATAATGAAGCCAAGTTTACATAACACGTTTCTATTTGGTTTCTTTTCTAGGGAATAAGTTTCATCCTACTAATATTAGAAACGTGAAAAGTACGGATGGATGTTTGTTACTCTTTCATGTAAAAACTACTGAACGGATCTGAATGAAATTTGGCACAGAGATAGATTATAGTCTGGAATAGCACATAGGTTATTTTTTACTCTGGTACTGGATGCGAAAAGAATTGATTATAAGCATTCAATTCCTTCTTTAAAAACCAAGCTTATGAAGAAAATGATGTAAAACATCTTAGTAAAATGAAATATGTATTAGAACCTGATTCAAAATGGCTGATAGCTTAACCGCCATAAAACAAATTTCTCGTGGAAAGGACATCAAATTAGATTAAATAGTTGACCAATATCTTTCAGAAATGAAATCTATTCCAATGTTATAAAGTAAAAGGAAATGTTTCATTATTTATTTTAACGCGCTATTCTCCGAAACAGAACGGTTCGAATTGAACAAATCTTTTTGTGTTGGGTAGCCTATTTATTAAGGAAGGCTTTAGGCTATTAGGTATCTCGCTATGATAAATAGGAGCCAAGCAGAGCGGTTCAAACTGAAAAAACTAATCAGTTTAAAGATATTTTTGTCAAAGCAAATACCTTTAAGAAACTGGGTGTTAAACTTAAGACATAGTGAAATTAGCTGTAACCGTCGTACTCAGAGTTATTTAATAATTACTTACTCAGACCCTATAATTGTTTTCGGAACAAAAACTTTACTAATCAATGGTTTTTTATCATCAAATGACTTCTCCCGCCCAGGGTGGGGCGCGAGGAAGTATCAGACTCTAACTGAATAATAAACCCCCTGTTCCTTCTTCTGCTTTATGCCGAGGTCGCGGTGCCTCATTGCGCTTACCCCGCAACCCCGGCTGAACATCAGCCCTATAGGGCCCCGTCTGTGGTGGTCTATTGGCTCTTTGAGGCGCGCAAAACGCGACGCGTACGCTTCGGTACTAAGGAGTATTTGGAGTCATGTTTGCACAGAAGCAATTGGATTCCGACAGGGAACTATCCTCCTTACGTCCCAATAGTCGTAGAAGTCTACACTCGTAGCATGTAGGGTTTTAAACGCGCCTCAAAGAGCCAATACATTACTTTAGATGGGAGCCGATGTTCAGCCAGCGGTCCTGACCCTGAGCAGGAGAAAGAAGGGGGTAGTTTTAAGCCAATAAGAATTTGATTTGACACTTTCTGTCTCTCTCTCACGCCCCATCCAGGGCGTCACAAGCCCTTGAAAAGGTAAAGTTTAAGTAATCATTATTTGTCTCTGAGTACAGTTAATAAATGTCGACGTTACCTATCCTATATGTATACTTAGATACTGTAATCGTAATTGTCCTATATCAATAAATGTGATATTAGTTATTTTCACTTTAGCTGTAACTAAGGAAAGAATCTCTTTACTACGTAAGATTATAAATAAATAAATTAATTAATATCATTAGGTATGTGGTCGAATACTCAATTTTCTTTATTATATTTTGTTTCAAATAATATAATATTTTGGTGTTTTATTTTATGATATAAGTAACTTTCTTGCCCGCATGGATGTCGATTTTACATTTTTTGAAGTTTTTTCTTGTCTGGACTTTCACGAATGATTCAATACCAAAATCAGACAAATCGGTTAAGGCATTGTTGAGTTATAATATTACCTGATGGTAAGCAATCAGTGCCACCCATGGACACCCGCAACAACGAAGGAACAACGAGTGCTTTGCCGACCTTTTGGGGATTTGGAGAGTTTGCGATTGGGGGAGGGGAAAGAGTTGGGAGGCCGCCGGTAACTTCACTCATACGGTGAAACACAACGCTGTGGTAGTTTCACGCCGGTTTTCTGTGAGGCCGTGGTATCGCTCCGGTCGAGCCGACCCATTCGTGCCGAAGCATAGCTCGTCCCTATACTTAAAGAAATATATACTTTAGTACTTTTACACATATTTAGACTCCACCAACATAGTTTTCTGGCGATGTTTTCCTTCAACGTATGTCAGTGGTCTCCAAATAATCATAGAAAGTTGATTTTGAATGTAACTCGGAAAAAGTCACATTGGTACTTGCCAGGTTTCGAGCCC